GGTGGGGTCAGAGATGGCTGCCATCGGTGATTACTTTTCAGTCATTTCTGCTTTTGTACCCAATCCCTGTTTAGGAAGGCTACTCCTGAAGGTATGAGCTTCTTGAAGAGCAAGAACCTTTGGAGTAGCAGAAAAAAAACATTTATGGAAGGCTTACACTTGTTAATTCTTTTGCCATTTAATAGCTCTTTTTGCTCCCTTGCTTGTATTAACCTCACCCAAAATATTTGGAGAACATAAAAATATCTCATATTGAATTTTATTTTCATAAAGCAAACATGCCAATTTTTAGTTTTCTATTCTCACGTAATTGCTCTGAGGTTCCCTAAACAACCCTTTAACAGTTTCTGGGTTTGCTGCAAGTAGAATTTTTTTGTTTTGAGTGTGTCAACTAGACCTGAACAAACAATTGCAGTTCAAATATTTTCACTGTGTAATATCATTTAGAGATTCCCCTGTCTTTTCCGTAGGAATGGTAGCTCATAGCCAGTGTGCAGTCAAGTGGTACAGATCTGGTTTTGCGTGGAGAAAAAACAGGTTCCATGCAAAGTTATGCAAAATACAGACCTTTGTAGTGCTTCTTGATGTTCCATCTCTGTACTTCTGCTGTTCCACGACTTGGAGCAGTGGCCAAGTTGATACACAGCAGGCTTGAGATTCAGACAGCACAGCCATCTGGGTTTTTTTCCCATCTACAGGTATCCCACTGAGAGACTCCAAGTAGCATTCGTTTCAGAGATACCAGTAACTGCTGCCAAGTTTACAGGTGTTGCCCCAGCTGGTTGGCCACCCTGGGCTAGAGTGTCAGAACGGGGTTTGGCAGCTCAATAGCTGGCTACGAATATACACGCCAGGACTATGCTACTCCAACTCTGCAGCATAACACTCTTGCTCCTGCACCACCCCGTGCTTTGCCTTGCCTGAAGCCATCCGTCTCTTAATTTGATTGCGGCATTACTTGGTATTTTTGTGAAGGAACAGCCACTAAGCTGCTGATGATTTCCAGGCATGCTCAAGACTGCCTCCATCAAAGTGCTCTAGACAGAGAAGTGTTCTAAAATACCAGGGGAAGAACCCCAAATCAATTAATTTAGAGCTAAAAGTCTTGTCATCCCTGTTAAAATTCTCCATTTTATATCACTTCAGTCTTCAAGATGAGGTGATTGTGTATTTCTCCTGTTAATATCTATGATTAATCACCTGGCTTGCTTACTTTGTATCTGTATGTACAGTTCTGCCTTAGCTGACATAGATCACCATGTTTTTGTATCATATATTAATTTGGGGAATGGCAAGACAGAAAAGGGATTTCAGTAAGGTTGGCAAGTATAAACAGAGGCTTATTCCACAAGACAAATAATGTTAACTTGACAAAATCAACCTGGAAACTAATCAAGATTGTAAAAGGGTTTAATTGAGATAAAGTTTAAATCTTAGAGAAACCTGTCAGAACTGGAGGCAACGTAACAATAAATATGGAAGAGAAGTAATCAATTAGGTGGACTTTCTGCACTTAAATATAATAATAAATAAAAATTGTTTAAAATGAAGAATTAAGAATGAAAAATCAGATTTACTTGAAGTAAAGGTTTCTTTGTCCCTACAGTTCTGTTCCCCTACCCAGAATCTTATCCATACCAGTACTCATATTTGATTATTTACAGAAGGGCATGAAATATACAGCTCATTTATTTCACAAGTCAATAAAGACATTATTGATATTCCACGTTTTTGTGTCCATGATTCTGTTCACACCTCTGATTCTCAAGTGAACACACTATTCTTCACCCCAGGGTTCAGTGTGTGTTTGTCTACTTTTATATTTTTCTCTTTTATCTTCATTCTTGGGGATTTCTGAGTTTGTATCCATGCTATAGAAAAGTATACTTCATGCAAGACAAATATATGAACAAGTTGAAAGGCAGAGACAGATGGAATCATCTTTGTGATATCTAAACAAAATACTATGAGCATAATGAAATACTGAAGCATTTGCATTAGTGTGTGAGCATTAGTGTGTGAGCTTGAGCTGAAAGAACAAAACTGATGCAACAGTTACTTATATGAAACTAAAGCCTTAATTTCCTTGCTGTTGACCTGCCATTACTGCAGGTCATGCCAGAGTATCATTTCAGACTTTTAGAAGCTAATGAATATAGACTCCCAGCTACTTGACATCAGTGAATATGTACATATAAGCTACTTGTTGTTTATGCTTGCCTAGTTGCCATTAATTTTGATCTTTTTCACTCTAATCATATAGAAGAAGGAATAGTTGTGGATCTCCATCTTCCCCCCACCCCAACACCAGAGAGTACCTCCACTTTATGATAGAAGCCTGCACACATAGTTTGATTTTTAGCGGAAAATACATAGAACTTCCTATTTCAGAGCTAGCAGGTGAAGCCCAACCACAGCAATTGCAGTCCTGCAAAGTAATGCAGCCTCATCATAACTATGCAGGTTCTCAGCGCTACACACAACAAACCACAGACTGTTGTCACTCAGACTAAAGTTTTTTTAGCTCTTTTTTTTTTCAGTGCCTTTACTGTAGCTTATGAGGTGGTGTGTGGGAAATGAGAAATGGGCAACTGAGGAAGCTGTTCTTTTCTGCCTCGTGAGGCAGTATGCCTTGCTGCTACTCCATAGTAATGATTCATGCTGGGTTTCCTATGATTGTGATTGGGGTAGGTTTGCCTTGATATTTAATTTATCATCCTTGCTTTTCCCATAGCAGATTACTTTTAGAGCTCAAAATGTTGAAACAAGTCTGCAAAACATGCACCTGTAAATTAAAATAAATTTTGGAAACGTGCATCCTGACTCTAGGAAGATCAGATTGTTAGGTGAATGCTTTAGCTGTCTTTTATTCCAGCCTCTTCATGGGATACACTTGGTCACAAGTAATAGAGGTTCTATGAGAGGACAAGCAACCCTTTGTTAAAGCAACAGTTCTAACATGGTTGGTTTTATCATGCTGTAAAATTGTGTAACACACACTGTTAATAATCTGGGCTTCTTCAATTTTTATGTGGAGATTGGTATCTAGTATAGTATCAATATCTTCCTCTTATGCTCATAGTAGTTTAATATGCCTCTGGTAGCTATAACCTCACTTAAGCAGAAAATGCCATGAATATACTGAAAGACATCCTAGCAAGGAGCATGTTCCACCTGGGGCGTCCCAATGCCACTGGCAGTGTACTGGAGTAGTTAAACCTAGTGTTTACAAATTAAGGGAATCTCAGGGAGTTAATGGAAGTATTTGCAGAACTTAAGATGAGGTATATCCCTGCAAGATAGTACATGATGCTGGAGCTCGGGCAACTGTGATGGATCAGAAGCTTGCTGTTTGCATGACACAACTGAAGAACTCAGCCTAATATTGCAGGTCCTATCCAGCCTACAGTGCTGGCTCTCTCCTTTCGATAGTATACTAGCGTGGATGTGCGGGGATGTAGGTTTTTGGGGGGGACAATTTTAGAACGGCTGCCGTGTTTCTTCCCCGTTTTTCCGGTAACGCTGTCTGTGTTAAGTGTCTGCAGAGTGTCTGTAGAGCATGGGGACGCGGGCCTGTGTTTCGCAAGGCGGAGGGCTGGGAAGTTGCAGTAGCCACGTTCCGGAGAGGGCTCCGCACCGCCTTCGCCCGTGACTCCGTGACACTGGCTCTCCCCGCCGAGCCGCCGGGCGCGGCGTTGCCGTGGAGACGGCGCCGCAGGGGCCGGGGGCGGGAGGAGGCGGCCCGGGCGCCGCCAGCACCCCGAGCCCTCCCCGCTCCACTCTCCCCCCCGCCGCCGTTCCCTATTATAGAAGAGCTTCCGGCGGCGTGGACTACTCTGACATCATCCTCCGCACCCCGGTGACGTCAGCGCCGGGAGCGGGGCGTGACGTCGGTGCGTAGGGGAGCGCGGTGACGTGTTCTATTTAAAGCTCCCCGGGCGGAGGATGGAGGCAGAGCGGGCAGGTGCCGCCGCGGGCAGGAGCACGGTGGCCGCGTGCGGCGCGGGGCTGTAGGGCAGGGCGCGGCTCCTCTCCGCTCTTCTCGCCCCTTCCCTTCCCTCCCCTCCCCTCCCCGTTCCCCGGGAAGGAGGAGCGGGACGGAGGTGCGGGCTCCGCGCGGCGGCTGCGCCAGCCCGCCGCGAGGGGACGAGCGGGCGGTGGCGGAGGTGTGAGGCGGAGGCGGGGGATGCGAGCAGGCACAGGCGGCGGCTCGGTGGCGCCGGAGCAGCCGGGCACCGCCTGAGGCGGCCATCGCTCCCTCCCTCCGTTCCACCGGCGGGGCTGAGCCCACGGCCCCGCCGCAGAACAGCGCGGGCTCGACGGCGGCAGCCCCTCCCGCCGCCCGCTGTCAGTGACCGAGCCGCCGCGCCCCAGGACGATGCCCGCCCGCTCGCTGCAGAAGAAGGCGTGACGGCGAGGAGCGGGCCCGCCACCGCGGGAAGGAGGAGCGGTGCCCCGCATCTCCGCAGCCGGGGGTGGGCGGGCGGGCGGATCGCGGGAACGCGGCGCCCCGGTGCCCGCGGGCGACGCGCGGCCGCAGCTCGTCGGTAGCGGCCTCTCGCCGGGAGTCCGATGCCAGCGCCGGTGCCACGGCTCGCTCTGCCTTCTCGGGAAAATGCATCCGTGCCCGCCACGCTGCTGGCGGCGGTGCTAGGGGGAGCGTCGGCGTGGAGCTCTGTGCGCACCGCCTGCCCCATCCCGCTCCGCCTCTGAGGCACACGGAGCCCTCCGCGGCCGCGCACGTCCCGGCGAGAAGCGCCGCAGCCACCGCCAGTCTCTCGCGAAGAAGGCGAGCGCCTCCCCGTTCGCCTGCAGGAGGGGACTCGTCCGTCCCCGAAGCCACCGCTGCCGCCCGCCCGGGGGCCGGAGCCGCTGCCTGCGGGAGCCCGGCGGGGCCGGTGGCCATGGGAGCCTGGCCCGCGGGGGGCGCTCCCTAGGGCGCGGGCGGCCCCGCTCGGCCCCCGGCGGTTGCGGCGAGCCCAGAGCAGCGGCCCCGCCGCCACGGGGCTGCGGAGCTGCCGGCGCGGCGAGGAGCGCCCCGGGGACGCGGCACCACCGGTGCCAGGCGCTGCCGGCCGCCATGGGGTAAGGATGTCGCGGGGGCCGCCGGGCTGGTGCCGGGGCTGGGGGTGGGAGCGGCCGCCCGCGGAGCTGTGGGCGCTGCTGGATGCGCACGGAGTCGAGGGGTCTCACTGGCGGGTGCGCCAGCAGCAGGAATCCTGCTGCAGTCGGTGCCATGCATCAGCCCCGTGAGGGGAGAGCCGTGCGATCCGTGAGGGGCGCACCACGATCTGCAGAGGTTTGTCTCCGCCGTAGCCACATCGGAATTCTGGAAGAGCCGTCTCGGCTCCCAGTTCCTCACTGTGAGGACCTCTCTCGGGTTGTTAGGCGATGTTCAGTCTTGAAAACGGGTGCTTTAAACTCAGTGCGCTAGGGTGAAATTCCAGAACAAGGAAGGCTCGCTTCCACTCTTCTGGAGTCTTCAGAGAATATCGAACTACGTGGGAATTTCTCAGTAAATTGAAGGCTCTGAGGAAGTCTGCCTCACAGCAGGTTCCCTAGTAAACTGGGGAATCCACTTGAGAGCGTAAGAAAATTAGAAGGAATGAAATCTGTAAAATTAGTCAGATTTCATACAAATTATTAGATAAAAATGTGACATAGATATGTGTGAAAACTTTCCACAGTCATATCCTTAGGAATTTGTATAGTGATTTGAAAAAATAATCCATCCTACCGGACTTGTCTGAAAGTGGAATGGAAACTCATCCATGTACCAAAGCAACAGAAACCTGGTATGATCTGGCAAACTGCAAGGTGGAGGCAATCTACAAAAGTTACAAATCATGTCCTTTGTATTTTGGTCACTTAGGAATTTGGATGTGAAATTGGCATATTACTATGGGAGTTACAGATGTCTCCTCTAGCTGTTTAGGACATTTGAATTCTTCAATTTATTGACTTCCTTGCATGTGTGGTGATAACAGCTGCATCCTTGTCTCTGTGCTATCACTTGGGGTCACAGGTCAAGATGTAGGAAGGAATGACTCCTTGCTCCTTGGACCTGTTTTTATTTTTCTGTTGTCTTCCCTTCCATTAAAAAATTTTGAGCAGAATAAGCCCAAACTTGCAGCTGTCTACGTATCCAAGAAAGTGATGTTTCTGCCAAAAGTCTAAATTATTTTTTTGGGGTATATACTTAAAATTGCTAATCACACACAGGATTATGTAAAATTAAAATAATGGAAGCCTTCTCATTGATTTAAAATCAATACTGTGTTTGTAGATGTTTGGATTAAGGTTAATCATATTACAAATCCACTGAACTGTTGAAGAGGAGCGAACATTTTGTCTCCAGAACTCCAGCTCTCCTAGTGTTTTACTGTCATAGCTTCTTAATAAACACTACAAATCCCTATTTGTTGAGAGCTGACATAATCTTAAAAAACACAGTTGTTGGTGCAATGACTTGAGTGGTATCTTGGCACATTAAGGTCAAGAACACTAAATTTGCTAGCGAATATTTTAAACACATTTTAGACAGTATGCTTTGGGGTATTGCAATATAGAATTCCTTTGCAGACCATCTTCTTACAAGAAGGGCAAATCCTGAAATGTAGGAATGTGTTACTGATAAGCCGGTATCTCTCTAAATCTGAGTGAGCACACCCAGGCCAGGGCCAGCACCTACTTAGTGCAACTGTGGGTAAGTATCAGACATCTGTTACTGTTCAGAGCAGAGCTCTTGATTTGGTAGCTCTTTTGAATTAATTTCTAAATGCAAGTACCCATGGATTTCAGAGTATTTCTACACCAGGATGCACTGGGCTTTTAATTCAACAGTTGATACTCTATACTCTACCAAGGTCTAAAAATTGAGCATTCTATAAGCAAATTGCAAGATCATTGGTAATTCAATGTACCTGGGTCACGTGATGGTCTGTGTCTTATATTCAGTGTTTAATGGGTGCTGGTATGCTGTGTGAGCTTGTAGACTGATTTTGTAGTACCTGACTGGTGGAGATCTCACCTATTTCAATGGTTAGAACACAGAAAACTTCGGGAGGGGGAAGTTGGCTTGCCAAACCAGCAGGAGCTTTCTTAGTCTGATTACATATAATGAAGGATTCATTGTTCTGCTGTGCAATGTTTGGCACATGCAGTACCATCAGGCAAGCCAGGTAATTATCCATTGGGTGTGTGGTGGAAACCAACTGGTGAGTAACTGGGCTTTGGGCCAGTGCTGCTGTTAAACATTTTTGGGGAAACTTGAAACTAGAGAAATGTAGAGTAGTTCAGGAGGCTTTCTTATTGCTGTATCTTGTATGTCTGTGTGTGTCTTTTGTCTCACAGAAGGTAAGTGTATCAAGCCCTGTGGATTATATAGGCCAGACACACAGAATGTCCTTTCTTGTTTCTCTATCTGCCCGTCTATCTCACTTCTCCCAGTTCCTCCTTCCTGTTGCATAAAACAAGTTCTTATCAATAGTTACTGTTGAGTGATATAACCATTGTGGACAGCCTTTTGTTGGATTGACTACATACAAATAATATTCTTTAACAGAAAAACATGGATTTTGTGTTCTGTCCTAGTTGATTACATGTATTCATGTGTTTATTGCTAGTATTGCACCATCTGTCTTCTTCAATGCAATCAGAAGTCTGATTGCATTGAAAATCCTCAAATAGCAGCTCTAAAGCATACCCAGGATTTATATTGGCAGCCTAGGATGTTGTATGCATTGACCAGGTAAGTACTGTGTTTCAAGTTGGAACTGTTACTATATTTCTCTTGTTATTGGTACAGCTTGTACTTCGATCTGTGAGCAGGGAAAGTAGAGACAGGGATGCAGTTGTTGTTTAGGCTGGAATTAATACACTTATTTACAAACACAATGGGGAAGCTGCACAGCTGTGAATTCTGGAGAGATGCAGAAATTGATGTCCTATTATACATAATATCTAGTATTAATTCCTGACTTATTGATGCATAGTTTCTCCATAACTACTTCACATGATGGCCTTTACATGACAGCGGGGGACAAACATCTAAATTTGCTACTTGCTTTTCCCATCGTTCATGCTGAATTATAAGGAATTACAAGGTAAAAGCTTCTGGAAGATGTGCTCATCTCTGTCCTGTCATGTTAGTCAAAGTGTCTTTATAAAGACTTCATCTTCAGTTTTGTTGGCCTATATTTAGTATGTTATCCTCATAAAGGTAGTTATGATATGTGTCAGTTTGAGATGGCAGAATTAGAATACTAGGGTTCTTAAGCTGACTGGAGAATATCAAGAAAGATTAGTCTTTTAGGGTATACTTTTTAGTGCTGCACTTGCCTAGAAAAAAGTATTTTAATTTTTGGTAGTCTGCAACTGGCTGATCCACTCCTAGATCTTACTCTATTTGAAGTATGTGCAATTAGTCAAACACATTTCTTTAAACAGGACAAACTAGAGTCTTGTCCTCAAATGTTTCAGTTTGCTTTCTCTATCTGGGTAACAACACATGAACAGTGTAAAGTTGTTGGGACCCAGAAGTATTATTGAATTTGTCCAGACTCAAATTCTTTGACCTGTTTTCCTTCCACAAGACTTAATGGTAGCTTTCCCCTGACTTTGTTTTAGCAATACTTCTATCAGCTGTGCTCCACAGAAATGCTTGAAGTAGTAGAGCGGAAGGCGTAGCTTCTTGGTAGTAGTTCAGTGTTACTGCAAGTCCTGACCATTTTGCTGTCTCAGGGGTAAAATGAGGTGCTTATTATGTGAGAGCAATGGTAGCAAAGTAGTTTATGCTGTCTTCTGTAGCAGAATGGAGAGTATAACAAGTTTTACAGATGACAAAACTTGGTTTTCTGTAAAGAATTAGTAATGTATAAATACCAAAACAGAAGCGTGTAAGTCAGCCTGAAATGCTTAATAAACTACTTTTCAGAGAGCAATATGTGTAGACTTCTACCATGCTTAAATTATATTCTGTCACAGTCACTTTGACTTCAAAACAAGCATAAGAAATCTGAACCAGGCCAGATCTTCTGGCCTGGTAAAACATAAATGCCTGTCCTGAGCATCTTGAGGTGATGATTGCTGATTTAGTGAAGGTATTTGTAATGAATTAAGGTTGCAATTGATCTGTTTTGGTATTTCCGTGCATTATCAAGATTTTATAGGCCAACCCTTTTGGAAAAATCCTACTTCTGCTGAAAATAAACATTTAAGTCCTTCTGATTCATTATGTTGGGATTATTTTTATTATCAGTATTATTCTCATTTTTATTCTCAGTATTTATTCTCATTATTTTTACTCTCAAGGCAAGCATCAGATGTGTGTGTGTGTTATTTGTGTTCTTGTGGTTTCTTTTTCCAAAACAGTGTTTGCTCTACCTCAGTTACCATTATCTTTGCAGGACTCAACTAGATGTTGAGCCAGTATCTAAGGAAATACACAGTCTTGGAGCCACAGAAATTGCAGTGGCTTATAATTCTGTAACAAGTCAGCCCTTCTAATCAGGGAAGGCAATGACATTTAACTAGAGCTGAGCAGAGTATTTCTGCCTGCTAATTAGTAAAAGTTTTAAGTTGAATCTAGATATCACATTTATGGGAATTTTTGTTGCAAAACATTTAAGGTTTATGATTGTATCATAAAACTGTAATTTGATTAAAGGCTCTTAGCTAATCACTTTAAATCATTGCTTTTCAAATCTGTGTCTATGCACTAGTGTACTTCAGTGAAGAGCATTATCATATGATGTAACACTAATTTACTGGTAGGTTCTCATTAGTATAAGTGCCTTGGACATTGTTTTAGTTGAAGCTATGGTTTTCTAAGGTATTCCAAACCATATAAACAATGCAGATACTTCAGCTAGACTAGAACCTTGTTCTTCGTCTCCTTTAGATGTCTCTAATTGGGAAGTTGTTGAGGCCTAAAATAATTACCAAGGACCAAGGTCTCTGCTAGTCCAGAGGTTAAAAGTTGAGGTGCTTAGCCAGGAAACCAGTCTGGTGTGTTCATACCCAGGCAGGCTGCGACTAGGCCTCAAATGGACATTGAATAAGTATGTGTACATGTGCCTGTGTTG